TTAAGTTAAGTTAAGTTAAGTTAAGTTAAGTTAAGTTAAGTAAGTAGTAGTAGAGTAGTAGTAGTAGAGAGAGAGAGAGAGAGAGAGAGNGAGAGAGAGAGAGAGAGAGGAGGGGGATGGTGATTCTTGCTGTCTTTGATAGTTTAGAAATCTAAGTTAGATATTAAAACATCCAAACTCTGAGACCAGTTCACTGACTAGACTGATATGGGAGCTCATTTAGAGTGAGATTAAGTTCTAACCTTCCCGGTTCAGGGCTATAACCGATAACAAAGTAAGTGATGCATGTCCATATGATTGAGACAATGAGAGAGTGAGGAAGTTTAAGAATGAAGCCTGGAAGAGCATAAGCCCATGCTGGGTAGAAATAGAAATCTCTCTGTTTGTAGAACATTGGCAGTCGGGAGACTGTCATGGCCAGCTCTGGGAAGCCATCAACTGTCATAATGATGAGAGAGAAAAACAAAGCACCCAGGTAGTAATTGGCATGAACCACATCAACCTTCAGTCTTGTGCGGAGAAACACAGTCATGGTGATAAATGCAATGATTACAAGCTGCATCAGGGAAAGGGTTGTGTTAGTGAACAAAGCATACGAACCATATGAACTTGGGATGAAAAACGTGCCACTTGTTTTTTCCGAATATTATTTGAAGTTGAGTAAGAGAGAGGAGAGGGAGACGGTTTGCTTTACTTGCAGCTTACAAAAGTATAAATCTTGGTGGAGACAGGTTATGTATGCAACTATGCAACTTCCCACATATAACGGAAAACACATGTGGTAGGTAATCACAAAGCCAAACTAATTGATCTGGCTGACTTATTGGCCAAGGACAGACACTCACATCTTACAATATCACAAGTGGAGCATGCAGTTATCAACTAACCAAAATTTTTAATCGACATGGATACAACAATGTAATTTTGACAGCAACAATTCATGTATTTTTCACAGATTTAATAAAACTGAGTCATTCATGAAAAGAAAAAGCTGCTAAACATTTTTTTCTGATGGCTACCTGCTACATCTACAACTAATAGATCAAATAATAAAGATTTGCATTGTTACTGTTGATTATTGTTAGTTCCCTCCCAAAAATTACACAATGTTCTTCCGTAATACATAAAGATAATATAGAAAAAAGTAGAATACATAACTATCATAGCTACAAGATAGTTTTACTAGCACCCTACCAACAGCCTCATTTGCCTCCCAACTTCACAATTCAAATTTACCTTCAAAGATATATCTTATATGGTAAACAATGTTGCCCAACCAATCTTTTCTTCAACGTTGGATAAGCATCACTTTTACTTAGATTGTATTTCATGCCATTGCAAATAAAGTAGTCTTGAGTATTGACAACTTATTTATCCCTACAGCTACTTAAAGAAGCATTTCATCCAAAATTCCAACTCCAATCTGTCATGTCATGTCATGTCAAATTCAGATTACATTGCACCTCTAAAACAATTGGCTCAAATAAGTAGAGTACAAGTTCCAAATGATGCAAACTGCATGAAAACATTAAATAAGCATTGTATTCCTCCTCCAAACATTGCAACACTAAACAAAATAAATCCAATTATAGTGTAAATACGTACATAACATGCATATGAAATCATTTCAACATTATTCTTATGTAAATATTAAAATCCTATGTTGGCTACAACTAAATTCTTGAAGTTTGAATTTGTCTCCAAACTTCCCTGGACTAGATTGATTCATTCAAGAAAAATATCCATTCTTACCAATATGATTGCTACAAGTTATATCTAAAACAATAAATGTTTCTAGCCTTTGTGGTAGCCCTTGATTTTTTTATTCTTATTTTCATCATATTATTTCTTTTAACCAGTGTTACATGGATTTCAACAAGCATGTCATGTCTAGTACATGTTGAGAGTATCTAGTATGGCTGATAAAAAAACCCAGTACTTCCCGACACATCCACACAGTTTATCATTGCTTAAAGTCTGTTCATAGAAAACATACATTTTCCAAGTTAAGAACATCTCTATCATATTTCCATGGTAGTAATGCAGGCTCAACACAAGGTGGAACAAAAAATCCCTTGCACATAACCAATGAGTGGATTCCGGTGGAATGCCATTTATTAATGATTTACATTGTCCTAATAATGCATTTATATATGTAAAAACTCTCAATGTTATGCATCACATCACACATAGATTGTGGCAATGGTGGAGTGGACCTCACTTTAGTGGGAAGTTGCGGGTTCAAATCATGCTGGGTGCAATTCAACATTGTTTTGTCCTTTTTATGTTGTGCCAATAATAATAGTACATATGTTAAAACTTCCAATCATCATAGACTTTAACCAAGGTGGTGGCAGTGGGGACGTCACTTTACTTAGGTCTCAGGATAGAGTTGTGCGCGACCGGGGGGGGGGGGAATGCAAAAACAATTGTTTTATGTTAATATTTATGGGTACTACATGTCCCTAAAAGGCAGCATGATATAGATGATGTCAATATGTACCGTAACGCATGTATTTCACATGATATGCATGGTCACTATGTTGGGGCCATTTCAGAGCTGTCGACAGTGGATACACGACACAAGAAGATAAGTGTACGAGGATAACCTTATTTTTAACTTTAAACAATAAAATGACCTAATCTCCTGGAGAAAGGGCATTATATCTTTGATTTGTCATATAATACTGAAATGTACCTCGTCTAAGTGCCAGTCCTCCTTATCTAAATGCTCTGAAGGTGTTGCTTTATTGCATTTGATTCGGCCTCCAAGCCATTCTCATCCTCTTTGAAATGAGCCACTTCCTCTTGGAGACCCATTTCATTTGCTTAATTACCCTTTATTAACATCTTTTAAAGAACATGACACCAAAACGCTTGTCCTAGCACGATCTTAGACTTTTGGCTTAATTCTCGCTCAAGTAGTTGTAAAGACCCACTATTTTCATCCGCGGCTAAGATGAATAGGAGCTTCAACTCTGCAAATGCCACCACAGCATAGTGGATCATTCTCCTTGACAACTTTTCCATTATCATTTATGTACAATTTTGACACAATTCAATGTAACATGGTTGTCAATCTCTATCACTCAGATCATACAGTCTCCAAAAATTTTCACATTCATCTATAGAATCACTTCTGTCTATGCTAAAGTTACAACGTTATCAATCTTTTACCATCTTTTCTCGTAAAAGACATGTAGCAAAATTTCCCATGCCTGTTCTGCAGCCTTTGCCTCCGCAAAATCTCTGCTGCATACATGGTTGGGTGCATAATAATGCACTTTTTTCTCTACTTATATGATATCTTTTTGTGCACTAGTTAAAGCATCAAAGGCTTCTATACTAACTGGTTCTACAAATCACCCAAAAAATTTTCATAATTTATATACCTTCATATAGATCCTCAATTGTGTATTACCAAGATCAGCCCAATCGTTCATATCATATTTAGATAACTTGTCATTGTACAAAATTACCATTTCGTGTCATTCTTTACAATTTTCGTTCCAAAAAAAAAAAAATTACTACTCTTCACATGCCAAAAAAATGAAAAATGCATTACATAAATACCATCCTAAAATTTATGCAACCGATTGTTTTGAACATTAGGTAACTAAGTTTGTTTCTCAACTCTCAAAAAATCAAACAAAAATTAGGAAAGAACAACCCAACTTCAAATTCCAAATCTACATAACATTACCCAAGACAATATCAGTAAATGTGCACGATTCTTCTAAGTGAACTAGTAACTAATACTTAGCTGGAAATAGGTTTTATACACATATATGAAAAATTCTGAGCCTTATTTTTCATGTTTTTCCATAACATTTCATAGTAATAATCCCCAAAACTCACATGTTGCTCCATTTTAGTACATGTATAAGAATACAACAAAGTATACTAGCATAAGTAGCAAAATAACTAAGAAGACTAACTTACGGATAGTTTTCATTGTTTACTTCCAAACCATGGTTAGCAAGTCAGGGAATAACAATATACCAGAAAACCAAAGCATCAATAATAAATCGGTCTTACTCCAAAAAGTCGGAGGCAAAAAATCGGATAAAAAAGGTGGATCACCAAAAATTAGTTACATTAGAGAATCATGAATATTTCACATTTGGCTAAAAAAATAGAGTGAAAAGATTGGATATGTTAAGAAAACACAATCTAAGATTAAGAGTTGTGGTTATTGTCAAGATACATTAGAACCTTCGAACTATAACTTTTATATCTTTACCAAGTATCAGTAGAACCATACTTGACAAATTTTTGTCTAAACTTTCAATATATACAACAACAATGCTTGCTCAGTTGTCATGACATAAAACATATACAATATAACAATAACAATAACAATACTAAACACTAGACTACATCAAAAAACAACCAAAACGGAACCCAAGGTATGGGATTATCGTCGGAAAAAAACAAAACTGACCTTTAGTATAAGATTGCAGTTAACTAAAACACAAAAATGAAAAAATGTAAACTATGGTCCATCCAAATTGTTACGTTCTCTACACTAATGGAATAAAGAAAAAAATTGACAAGATGAAATTAATCAAACTTCTGTATGTAGAAAGAAAACAACAAATCCTTAAACAAATAAAAATATTTGAAACTCGCCCTGAATTCCTAGCTGCCTAAATTTTTAGTTGTAACTAAATCTCTCTCTTTATAGTGAGGCTTCGTGTTTAGAGGAAACAAAGATTTTTAATTGGGTTCCTCTTCCTTTAACTCTAAATATTATTTTGAGATATACGGTTGTTTTGATGGATTATTTTTTGGAGCATATATTGCAATTTTTTTAAAGGAACATAATGGAGAAAAACTTTTATGGAAATCTTTGTCAAATCAAGATTCTTAATGTACTCCATTTATAATGTACTTTTAGGGCTCTCGAGAATCCCTCTCTTGCGGAACTAGCAATCTCAAATATCGGGATCCATCGTGTACATGATTGGCTAAATGCGACGTAGATGAATACAACTATAAATCGAGTGCAGGAAATAAAACTAAAATAAAAAGCACGCCACAACAATACATGATTTACGTGGTTCACCCCCGTAGGGCTACATCCAGAGCCTCGGCAACTAAAAATCTCCTATCACAATAAATATTACAATTTTGGGTTACAAGAGATATACCCCTTTCTAAATATCGATAAAAACCCTTCGCCGACCCTCCCTTCTAAACCCACTCTCCCGACAGAGTAACACTGGCGATCAAATTTTCTTTCGCATCGCAATACCACTACCGGAAAGATAACTTCGAAAGCAGCCAAAAACTCTCTTGTCTCTAGAAGTAGAAACTAAATCAACCCAAAACTTCATGGAATAGTGCCACTATCAAAGAAAAACTCTCTTGGAAACTAAATCAACCCAAAACTTCATGGGAATACTGCCTTTATCGAAAAAGCTATGTGTGTCACTCTTGGAGACCCCCTCTTTGGAGATCTATTCCTATAACCCCCAAAGGGGTGACTCTCAAAATGATGCATATTATGTCTTCCTTGGCCCTCTCATCCGGAGATCACTTTCTTGCTTCTCAAGAAAGTCTATTTTCCATATACCATAATACCCTTAACTTTAACAAGAAAATATGAGTATGGTGATTTGGCTTTCCCTAAACCCACTAGTGAAAATTCAAAAATATTAAATGAATAAGGAGATAAAATTATACGGAAAAGTTTTTCTCAAAGTTCTCCTTAGAAAAGATAGAACAAGGATTTCTATTGATTCCATTGAAAAAATGTGACTTCTTAACTCGGATCCGATTAAATCGTGTTTTAAATGGAGACTTGCTAGCTACATTTCTAAAAACTGTCACATTTGCCTCCAAAAACTGGAATTTGAATTAAAATCAAACATGCAAACTGTCCTGATATAATATCCAACAAAGACATCCACAGAGAGAGAGAGAGAGAGAGAGAGAGAGTACTGTGTTGTCTTAGAGAGAGAGAGAGAGAGAGAGAGGTACCTGTGTTGTCTTGAAGAAAGAGAGAGAGAGAATACCTGTGTTGTCTTGACTACATATATAAAAGAATTCCTCCTCGTGAGAAGCAACTCCCGCGCCATGCAAGCTTTAAGAAGCTCCCATTTAGAGAGAGAAAACATTTTAAAAGACAAAGCGTCCTTATGGCTCTGAGTTTTATCAAATGGGTTCGAGAGCTCTTTAGCCAGGCTTTCACCCACATGAAAAGACTGAAACTTCTTGAGAAATTCATCAACTGAAACGTAATGGTAAGGTTCACCATTGAAGAACCAGTATTGAGCTTGATCCTTTTTCGAGATCACCTGAACCAGATACAAAAATTACTTGTTTTATATGAGAAAATTTCAAAATTACAGCGAATATTCAAACTTCAGAGAAATTTATGCCAGGGCTGACATTAATAAGTATTCCCGAAAATTTCAAGAATGAAGATGAAATCCATTTCTTCAGAACATACGGCGAAATTTCGGGAAAAAAGTCGCAAAAATTGGCGGTTAAGAGAAATCGTCCCATTAAGTGAAAGGGCACCAAGATTATTTGATAATCGTACGCCATATCATATCTACCGTTAATTATATGGACGTAGAGTAGATACTGTGAGAGAGTAGTTCTAGGGGTGGCAATGGACCCGGACGAGGACCCGATCGGACCCGGGAGCGAAGGGTAGACCTTATCCAGGTATAGATTCAAAAATTGGACTTGGCGGGTATAGGTCCAAATCTTGTCAAGTCCGGGTAATATATTTTTGAGTCCCAATATATGAAATATATATTTAAATATAGTTAAATACATAGATATTTTAATTTTTAAGTCGGATCTTGCACATGAATTAGGTCCCGGTCCCATATTATATTTTTTTTTTGTCCACGGACCCGACCTGTTGCCACCCTGGAGAGTACACAATTTCCCTGTAATTTTCCTATTTACCAAACCTTGGATAAGTATGAAAGTTTGGGAAACGATGGATGAGGTTTTACAAGGCATAGGCTTGATGAAAGCCATCGGGTCCATGAAAGTCCATGGACACCTAACCCAGCATATAAATAGAATTTATGAAGCTCTTTTAACTTAACTGTGAAGTTATGGAGGTTCAAGGGAGGTTCTAAAAGAGAGAGGGATTCACAGGTGAGGAAGAGAAACAAAAATAAGAGCTTTCTAGGGTTTGGATGATGGAGATATTCAATTAAATAAATAATATAAATATTATAATTTGGACAATGAAATAATGCAAAAAGGCGTTAAATGCCATTTTCTTTTAACTTAGAGAGAATTCATGGTGCTAGATGTTGAGGGTTTATTTGTCATTGTAATCACTGGATGGGAAATGTGTCTTTTACACTTTAATTTGTACACCACCAATGGCTTCAAATATATATACAAACCTCTTGGAGGAAATCGGCAGCACCCTTTCTTTCAGGGCACCTGAATCCACATCTTTCAAAGAAATCGAGCACATAGTCGCGAGGACCGTGGTAGACAATCTTCCCCTCTGCCATCAATATGATGTCGTCGAAAAGTTCAAAAGTTTCAGGAGCTGGCTGGAGTAGAGAGACCAAGATAGTGGCATCAGTGATGTGCACAAGTTGTTGAAGATATCGAACGATCTGAAAGGTGGTGGAGCTGTCTAACCCGGTCGAGATCTCGTCCATGAAGAGTGTTTTCGTCGGACCCACAATCATCTCCCCTGCAGCATAGAATGCCATGGAAAGGTGTCATTTGGAGGGCCTTTGTGTTGAAGCATCTTTAGGTCTAATGGAGAATGATAAGCATAGTTAACTTTGGTTATAAGTGTGACTTAGGATTGTTTAAATCTAGGTTGTACTTTTATGATACCTGGTTGAGGGTTAAAATGCAGTTGCATATATAGATATCCAATGCACTGCTTGTCTATAACATTTCTTCTAAGATTAAGGGTGGTGATGGATCAGGTTCATGTTTGGTCAAACCCTGACCTGGATCTGAAAATATACTATGATACACAGACCCAACCAGAAACCACTTTTTACATTTAAAAAAAATGTACATTTAACTCAAAAAATAAAGACATGGATTACCTGGACCTGGACCGGTGGGACTACCTAGACCCAGACCCAAATCAAGGCTAGGCTATTGGACCTAGACCCGGCGTCAGGTCTTGCGTCCATGGGTCCCAATTTCCACCCCTACCTTAGATATATGAGTTGAAATGGAGGGAGAAATGGGGTGGAACATGTCTAAAATTTTGAACTGCTTAGCTTTTTACCAAACTATGCTTATTGTTCATGCTCAAAGGATTTTAAGGAAAGTTTTTGCTTTGCTAAATCCAGAGAAGACCTGCACATTGTTTTGCCTCATAAACATTGCATTTCAATGATTTCAATACCAGAACAATTCTATGCAGGCATCTACAATTCTATGCAGGCATCTATGTTACATGAACACAGATACAGTATCGCATGTGTACAAGTGTCAAAATGTCAATCTTAGAATTAGCTAACCTTAGTTAGACTCATATGAATGAGACGATAAGTACTTTTATAACCAGATTTCAAGGATGTCTAAGTTTACAAAGTGTCAGAGAGATCTTGTGTTCTTAATAAGTCGGTCCCAAATGAAAAACCATCGACACACGTGTCCATGTTACATTGCTATGTCTGCTTCTTTGACAACATTAGTACCTAATTTCCGATTGGGCACTTTAAAATTGTCCTTTTAATGGAAACAAGCACAATTAGTTATAGAAAAAATAAAATACTAGCAATACCTGTTGTTAATCTTTTCTTCTCTCCACCTGAGATTCCTCTACGCATAACATCACCCACAATAGTGTCTGAGCATATGTCGAGCCCAAGAATCTGTATAAAATTTTACCAATCAATGGATAATGTATTTAATAGAAAAGGAAAAGGTCTATATAAGATTGAGACCTTAAATGTAGAAGCAAGGTCACACTAATATACACCATCTATTTCATTTGGTCCGCATAGATTTAATACTATCTTAAAAGATGTATCACTTGAAAGAGATGTTAAATTTATACCACCAATTAAAATGAATAGTGCAGCACATCTTAAAATGAATAGTGCAGCACATCGTGACCTTACTTCTATAAGAACCGATCGAATGAACAAAAATCTGTAGTGTGCTTTCATAGAATTTTTCTTGAAAGGGGCTAGACTTCCCAAAAAATAAAAACAAAATAAAAAAAGTTTAAAGCAAAAGAATGGCCACCTTTAAGATGTAGTCTGTTTGAAGGCTTCCTTCCACTCCCTGTGCGGAAATTGCCTGCCAAATAAATTACATTCTCAATAGCAAATATGAGTGGGGATGGGGTGCTCTCATTGAAGGACATTGTACATTTGCTCCCTTGTATAAATACCGAATTAAGAAAAAAAAATTGAAATATGGTTGTGGAATTAACTTCAGATGCATTCTATGGATATCTTCAAGAAAACTAATTTGGATTTTAAGTTTCTATGCTCTTACTTCTAACCATCCAAAAATTTCAATATTAAGAGCTATTTTTTCAGGCCACATACATAATAACCTTTTTAGGTTGGCCTATAGGTCGAGGACATTCATCATCATCATTGTCATCATAGTTTTTTTTTCAATTAATTAAAGTCGGCTACATAAATCCTAAGTCCCCTAAATTTGAGATATTAAAAATACTCTTAAATAGTGACCTTCATGAAGGTGTCTATGTCCAAGTCAGGCACAATTCCAGCTTGCTTCTCCCTCTTAATGACTTCCATCATTAACCCTATAGCACATATAAGGCAAAAACCAGCATTAAACAAATTACAAGATGATTAAATATGATGAAATGAATCTTTGGAGAAGCCCTTGGGAAGGTATTAGGATCACTCTTTATGGGACAGTGTACGGTTTTTGCGTCCGAGGCTTTGAATTTGGTAATTCTGCGTCACAAAACCCGGCAAGAATACATAATTTTTAGAGCTAGAAAACTTTGAGATGGCTTCCAAATTCATCTCCTTCGTTCGTGGTATTTGAAGCTTTGAAAATAATGCGGAGTAGATATGTGAAATAGATGGTTAGAAAAATGTGTTACGAGATGGGCCATTTTCGATGCTTGAAATCCACTCTTTAGATCCGTAACATTTGAGGCGGAGATGGTTGATTTGCAAGCTTTTTGGCACCAAAATTATTTCTATGAGATATGAAGTGCCATTGTATAAAATCACAACTATAAGAGAAATAGAGCCAAAATGTAGTCAGGCACTTAATTTGATTCAAGGATCTAATGAGCTTGGTTCGCTGAATTTTCACACATTCAAATTGTCATCCACCAGAATCCAACTGATCCGGACCATCAATTTAGCCCTGGTGTGAAGAATGTGGTTCTAATCATCCATGCCTACAAGAATTGATGATCTAGATGATATTTGCTCATCTAAATTCCAGTGGGCATGGCATAATGTATCATCTGCCTCAAGTGAAACCAAAATCCTGATTTCCTTTTTGTACCGAAAGTGCTTACCAGGTCTACTACCAACTCCTTGACAACAAGCTGAGAAATCAAGGGTTTCTCTAACAGTCATCTCAGGAATGTGGAGGTCATACTGACTTATATAAGCTGATGTCTTTTGGGGAACAAATTCTTCTAATTTGTAACCATTGTATGTGATTTCACCAGACACCTGAAAGTGAAAGAATCAATGAGGTTTAGATGCCCAATAAAACAGAGGAAGGTCCTGAACCGGGCCCTGTCCTGTTATGGCCTCGGCCATGGCCCAGGGAAAACAACCCTGCTTGGCCCTTGGGCCCAAGGCATAGTTTTTAGAGATAGGCCAATGGGGCCTGGCCAACCCATTTCCAGCCTTATATAAATGGGAAAAATTTATATAAGGATGCTATCTTGAAGTGTAGAACTGTGGATGCCCCTCAAACGGTAAAGGTAGTTTTAATGTTGAAAAGCCTTTTGGTTGATCATCTCGACCATCTCGACATCGAGATGTATGATTATGAAAAATAAAAAGATTTTAAGTCTCAAAAATAATACATTTTACAACATATTATCTACACCGTCCATTTTCAATATTTTCTTATGTTCATAAATCTACCTGATTTTAACCATTTTTGAAATTTAAAATTTTATAATTAGATATAAAAATATATTTTGAGATAATCCTAAGAATACATTTTGAGATAATTCTACCTGGACCTTAGCCCTGGCCAGGTCCTTGTCTTAAAGGACTTGGTAGGTCCAG